ATTCAGACTAAGATCCTCATCTTTATTGTTACCACAACATAACAGTCATTGTGCCACTTGGCCATCTTCAGATGCCTGTCAATCCAGATAACCTTCAGGGAATTTCAAACTGGACTCTTAATTTATAAAAACAAAAAAAATTACATTCATTATCTCAAATTGTTCTCATTCTGCAGTTCATTCTTAAAGATATCTTCTCATGTACACCCTTCTCCAATCTCCAAGTACGGCACAAGACAATAGCCTTGTGTCTTAAAGTGTTAGTTCATGAATTTTGTCACATACTAATTGAGTTTGATCCCTGGGCTGGGTAGTACAGATTTGAACTCTGTGGAAACAGAGCAAGCAATAACTGAGCAGTACTAAACAGAGAAGATGGGATATCCCTAGACAGAGACAGCAGAATAAGAACAATTTACCTACATAGATTAAAAAAAGGGGTTCAGTTCAAAATTCGCTAAAAAATACCAAGATCAACAAACATATGAAGAAAATCAAAGAACACAATGACCAAAATATTGGAATAACAAAATCAAGAACATTAATTTGAATGTAAATAATGATAATTCCTCGTCCCAGAAATTCAGACAGAAAATTGCACTAAACACTTTCTTTGCATTAAAAAAATAAGCATATGAGATATTATCAATATTTTCTTATTGAAGAACTGCAATTTAATGACAATTAAAACAAAATTAAAAATGCTTTTCAATGATAAACTGAAGAGCAGACTAAGAGGTGAAGGAAAACAAACTTAAAGTCAAGTGATATACATATTGATTGTAGTATAAAAAGATTTACGAGAAAAAAATGATGAGGAAGAAAGGGATCAAGAGACAGATGTAGTAGAAAAAACATACGCAATGCATACAAAGAAATAAAGTTGTATGAAGTTGAACATTAATATAAAGAGATGATACAGAATGCAAAAAGTTCATGAAATATTAAATTAAATTGATATAAAGTGATAAGGGTTGTAAAGTGTAAAGGATCTATAAAGTCATGAAGTGCTATAAATAAAACGATAGATGAGACAAAGAGAAGGAAGAAAAGTGGAGTTTCTTTTAACCTATTTTTCATATTGCATTATCATGTTTATTATTAATTTAACAGTGACAGAAATCCAACACTAGGAGCCAAGGAGCAACAATTGGAGATTATATATATCTTCATCAAAGAATGTGATATAGATATCTCATTCTCTGATGAAGTTTTAATAAAAGTGAAACATGTTAGATTGATAAATGTTTCCTATTTGTTCTTTATCTTATATATTTAAATGTACTGTCCCACCATCTTTACAATTTATTAACAATAACTCACTTTTTAAATAGACAAAAAATTTTCTCAAACATTCAGGTCAGTAAATTTAATTAACGCTGTTTATTTACAAAATTGGAGCATTTACTTAAATTGTATCTATTAAAAATAATGTATAAACAGAAAATATATTAAATAATTGTCAGACTTAATCCATTTCACAAATGTGTGTGTGTGTGTGTGTATATATATATATAATCCTAAACATTGCATTTAAGCATGAAACAGACTGTCAGCAATGGGCATGGACTTCAATGTCTTATATTTACATATACTCTATCCTCGATATTGAGCACTTTAACCCATAAATATAGTATACCTTAAAACCATATTTTTATCATATATAAGATAAAAGCATGGTTTTAAATTATGTTATATTTAGGCGATAAAGTGCTCGATATCAGGAATAAGGGGGGGGATGTACACTGATGTTAACGCCAAGTAATGACAGTCTGTTCCATCCTTAAACGCAATCTTCACATCAAGTGCATTTTGCAGTGGCTTGGCTATATATGCTAGTTAGTGCGGCATTATGGATAGAAAGGTCAGGTATTCCCAGTTTATTGTAATGTGTCAATGGTTATATTTCAAATTATTCTAATATCTAGTGGGTAGAAATAATTGTGGGTCAGAATGCAGTTATTTGTAGCTATTGTATAAAGTTGTTTGTTTTTATTTATTCATTAATTATTCACTGTTGATTATTATTAAATTTACTTAGTTTTTCAATGCGTTTATTCAATTTGTTAATTTATTTTATTTCTATTATTATTTTTTCCTTTTCTGGGATTGATTATCTTATTTGTTTAGTTTAAAAAGGATTGTCTGTCTAAAGTATGTTACATTATCTGCATATATTTCTATTTTCTTAGTTACTTTTTTTTTTTTTTTTTTTTTTACAAGCTATTCATTTTTAATTTAAATAATGTACTAAAAATTTGTTTTTGTGTCTACATTTTGATGTATGTTCTAATCAATTATTTAGTAATTTGTTTTCTGGGAAGATGATTATAGCATTTCTTTTTCTTCTTCAGGCAGTTTACAGTTTTAAGATTAATTGATGTAGACTGATGCTGTTTTCCTGATTTTCTATGATATTTTTAGTGTATTTTGTTTTTAATTTCCCACATATGTTTAGAAAGGGTTGAGCATATATTTGTTATATGCAGATATTGCACAAAGGAATGCTTCCTCAGTGACGTCTATTCTGGGGTCATAGAGAGTTTTGGGCCTCCATGACATCAGACCTTCTCTCTCATAGGCTCAAGCTGGATGCAATCATTTCTTGACTAGCATTCTGGCATAGCTTCTGTATGATTGCAAGAATTTTAAATAATATATGCCTCAATAAATGAGAATAATATATATAAATAAACAATGACTATATTTATCAATCATACAATTTCATTACTCCAAGCTTTTAAGGAGATTCTGTTATGGTAATTGAGGACATTATTTGATAGCAATAAGTAGACACAGCAATAGAATAGGGAAAATCAAGCTGCTCAGAAATTACTTTTTATTATTTCTTTCCTATTTGGTTTCTTTGTATATTTTTTTTACTTCTGATTTCAAAAGTAGAATTCTTTCTTACATGAGATTCAGCTAATTATGTATTTACTTATTATTTATGCAGAAAATATAATCAATGCAACTGCAAAATGACTGATAGTTATTATTATAAAATTTTATATTATTTTATCTCAACATCTGTCTATAATTATGAGATGAAGTATTGTAATCATTTACATTGTTCAGACTGTTGTCTTCATCTTTATTATCATATTGTGACATTTTGGCCTTTGTACCAACCTTCTTCAAAATCTGTCTATATTTCCAAGATGAGGTATTGCAACTATTTATATTGTTGTCATATTCACAATACTTTGTACATTCTGCACCCCAGCCTTCTTCAGGTGATATATGTTGAATTTTCAAACTGAACTCCCTTTATGGAGTAGATTGTTCTAGATCCACATACCATGCCTTTTCTGAATATCTCAGTTTCAGTTACTTCCCTTTAGTAACTCAACTATTTTTTTTATTGAACTCACAATTCTTTGGATTACTTCAACTAACGCTTTTATCCACTGGGCCATTTTGGAGCTGAGTTATTAAATGGAAATACCAAACGGAGATATCCCAAAAAGGCATGGCACGTGAAACTAGGACAATCTACCCCAGTGGAGTAAATAATGGTTTGGTTCCAAATTGCAACATATATCACCAGAAGAAGGCTGATGTGTACAACAGTTGAAACATCATGAATATGACAAAGATGAGGACAACAGTCCCAACAATGTAAGTAGTGTAAATATTGTATCACAGTTTAAAAATTAAAAAGTTTACATCAAAATTACCCAAAATAGTGCAATGTTAGGAATTGCTATACTGGAGGTTGTTTTACTAAATAGATATATGTTAACAAAATCACCAGTGAGTAGAAATCATTACTTCAGAATTCATACCTCGTCTGTAATTAGTATATATTTTATTTAATCCATAAATAATGTTAATGGATTTCTTTAAAATACCTCTAAATTTTCTTAGTCTATTTACTTAAAACGGTAAAATGAAGAGTCCTGACTACCTGTTAAAATATTGGGTTGGAAATAAAGTTCCTGCACAAATTTTAATAAAAATACATATAAAGTTGTGCAGGAATTTTGTTTCCAATCCAATAATATTGAAGAGATTCAATGCTTAAGTGTTTCAAACACAAAATCTTAAGGGATTAATTTTTAACTTAAATCATTAAGAGTTCTATAATTCTATCAAAGACCTTTTTTCATGTTTTTTCATATTTTTATAGCAATTAACTTCAAGCAAATATGTATTAAACAAGTCTTTTTATAAAAATGAAAATGATATGCCAGTATGCCATAATTAGACTGGAAAATTGTTTAATACTAAAATATAAATTTCTCAATTGCTTAATATAATCATAAATGGGGGATCTTAATTTTGCAAAAGAGAGAAAACAATGCAGCTCATGTAATTTCTTACATGTTGACTAGTTTAGAATAACATGCTATTTTTTTTATCTGCTGCTCCATCAATACCATAGTTTTAAAGTTTTAATGCATAACTGAACACTAAAGTTGTACATGTAATTTTTTTTTTATAGCTTCAATAAGTAACTTTTTCAGTTTTATTTTTTAGCTTAATCTGTCAATATGATTGAAATTCAAGTATTCTTTTCAGATGATTTAAAGTAATATAAATCTAAAACATATATAAAATAAAAATATAAAACTTAAGTGCCAAAAGGATTTAAAATCAAATTCTATCATTGAGGCTTTAGTGGTAGGTGAAGTAAAAATTTAAGGTCGGGGAAAAATAGTGTAGAAATGATAATACAAAGTGGTAAAAAGAGCAGAGATAGAAAGGAACATAAAATAAAATAAATGCCTTGCAACTCACAAATTAGGAATTAGATATGCTTCTTTTCTCTCTTATATTTTTTATTCAACAAGTCCCTTCTTTATTTCTTCCCCTAAATGAAGTGCAGTACTGAAAGTAATGAACCCAAATTATTCAAGAGTAAATCAAAGAAAAAAAAAAGCATGGACATGCATCATAAAATGCAAATGCATTTGATAAATATTTAAGGAATTTTTCATAAGATGGATGTAAATGTAAGAGAAAAAAAAAATGTAAAGATGATTTAAGACAAAGACTGGGACAAGGAAGAAGAAATAAAAAGGAGATAAGAAAAAAAGGAAAGCCTATAAAAAAATATTTATAAGAGAATCTGACAAAAGTGATATACTAAATAAAAAAATTTTAAAAAATTGAAAGTTTTAAAAGACTTCAAGGCAAACAAATAACTCAAACAAAGCTTAAACCAGTTTGGACCAGTTACATAGTAATATAGTATATACATGGACAATATATTCCCTATGGTCAAATATTTTTAAGATGTATTTTATTGCACAAGAATGAAAAAGTAAAGTTGAAATGAATCATGTATGCACAAAAAGAATTTATAAAGAGTGAGATGGAAGATTTGAATTATTGATCATGTAGATAATCAAATTTTGGAAGCAAGAAAAATTTGCTATGAGCTTTCAGTAGACGTCTTATGTATCTTGTTCAAGTGAATAATTAAAGTTTCTATAGGACTATTAAACTGAAAATTAATATTTTATTTTGCTTCAACTTAAAATTCAAGATAAGAAAAATTAAATAAATTAAGTGATAATATTCTCTTCCAGAAGAAATCACTTTAGTACTTATATAATCAATACAGGGTACGATGGGTAAATTGTTACCATTTTATATTTTAATTTTGCACGTACATATTGTTTGTTTTGTTTTTTTTATTTTGTTGACCGCACAGTATAGTGGGGTCAGTTGGGCACCATCTGCGAGAAAAAGAGCAACATGATGGAATTCACACAAATTTAAAAATGGCATGCTATACTGCTTAGTATTTGTGCCAGAAGCTCCAATGTGAATATTGGAGTGTGTTTGGGTGTCAATCTGAGGACAGTTTGGAGGATTCAGAAAGAGTTGGATAATATATCCAATCAACATCATGGTGTTTGGAGTGATCACTAGTTATGGTGACATTATGTCTCAATTCATCTCTCCACAAGGCCTCAGTCTCAACACACACACATATATATATATTATATATATATATAGATAGATAGATAGATAGAGAGAGGCCTATATCAAGTGCTTTGAGGAGGTAGTGCTGCCCTGGGTCAAGAAGGTGGCTGCTGGAAGACACTATATCTCTGCACCATGGCACACAAGCAGGAGAACACAGTCATGGCTGTCAGACAACTTCTGCGACCACATCACCCTTTACATCTGGCAACCTAACTCCCCAAACTGCAAACCCACCCCCTTGATTATTATGTGTGAAGCACAGTTGAGTGATAGACCAACAAAACTCCTTGTAACACCAAAGATGAACTGAAGGCAAGGATTACAACAACATTCACCAACTTAAACAAGGAGACCATCCAGAAAAAATGAAGGAGATTTTGAAATTGTCTGAAGACCATGGTTGGATTTTATTGCATAAGTTTACTCTCTAGTATTTCTATGTATTCTTGGTAAATATATCTGTTAAAATGAGATGTGAGTGTTATTCTCATTTTTGTATAATATAAACGACAATTTATATATCGCACCATGTATCCGTCTATATTTCCGAGATGAGGTATTGTAATTATTTACCCTATTTACAATATTTGGACTGTTGTCCTCATCTTTGATGCTATATTCACATTGTTTCAACTGTTTTACACTCCAGCTTTCTTCGGGTAATTGGAATTTTGAACCAAACCCCTTATTTTGTTCACCAGTGTATATCAGCACATATGTTAGGCCACAAAAATTTCTGAAGCTGACCAATCAGAGATGAATACAATATGGGAACCAGTAATACAGAGTGCAAGAGAAAAGCAATAACAACAAATCGTATTATGAGCACTAGATAAAAATGGCTATTGAGACATTATTTTTAAGTCCTTAAAATTAATACACTGATGTCCTCAATAAAAGCAGTGGTTGAGGTAATACAGTGACTTGACCCAAAGAGTTGTAAGTTCAATACCTGAGGTGAACAAAAATTTGCATTACTAAAGGAAAATAACAGAAACTGACTGGAAGAGGCATAGCACATGGAACTAGAAAAATTTACTCCAGTGGATGAAATAAAGGGTTCAGTTTGAAAATCCAATCAACTGAAGAAGGCCAGAGCATATGACAGCCACAACATTGTGAATATGGCAACAAAGATGAGGACAACTGTCTAAACATTGTAAATAGTGTAAATAATTACAGAACATATTTTTTTTCGATTCAACTATTTAAAGATAGTACAGAAGAAATCTATTTTAAAAAGTTGCATCAAACAATTAAAATACCGTTATCTGTAGAATATTTAAAACAAACATGTAAAAGACACCAAAAACTAAGCATATATTGGTTAAGATAAAAGTTTGGTGCTCAAACTGCCTGAAACATTAACAGCCCTACTAGTTGATTGGTAAGAGATTAAATAGTAATTTTAAATGATAGGATGAAGTTGAAGCATGTAGAATTTCTACAATTCAATAACAGGAAGATTCCTAAAAAAAAAAAAAAAAAAATAAATGCATGCTAGAAGAGGTTTATGAAATTACAGCTTAAAAAAAAAAAAAAAAAAAAAAGGTCAAAGGCAAATCAAATGTATAAAAGATTAAACAAAAAAAAGGAGATAATACAGCTAAATTAGTAACATATTTCATGTCAAAATTGAAAGATTTTAATCAGATTGATATAACACTAGATAATTTTTGAAGTGGGTAAAGAATAAAAAAATTAGAAGCAGGGAGATTAGAAATTCTGATAACAAAATCGATAAAATCAAATAAAATATTCGTGACAAAAAGCGTACTAAAGCATTAAGTTGAAAGTACCTTACCAATAGTTCAAGTATTAAAAGGGAGATAACCTTATTAAATATTAAAGGGAGATAATTTTATTAAAGAAAAATAAATGGAAAAAAAATTGATAATGGAATAGTATCCGATTTCATTTAAAAAGACTGCAAACTAAATGGTTTTAAGAAAAACAAAATTTTATTCTGAAATATACTGCTACAAATTTAAGTATATATCAAGTACTGATATATATATATATATATATATATTAGTATAAAATAACACGAAGAAAAAAAGATCCAACTATAAAACCAAACAAAGCAGCAAATTTTACCTACAAATGATATTAGATACCAAAACAGACTATTACTGTAATATTACTTAGAATATTTACTAATTTCAGCTGAAAAAGTGAAAAAGACTGAACTGATAAAATTTCTTTTTTTTTTTTTTTTACTCCAACTGAAAAAAAAAAAAAAAAAAAAAATATCAGAAGTTTATTAAAAACAATTACATACTAAATAATTTTATTAGATTCAAATTTGTATAGCTGATTACTCATTTCAAAGCATACTTGTCTCTTAGAGTGACTATCTTGGTTCTAGACTTTATACTGCACCTATCCTGAGTGGAACTTACATTAGAGTACATAATCTGGTGTGATAACTAATTTGAACAAGTCCAGTATGTTCAAACCCTCACTCATGACTTGTGACCTTATGCTAGCACAACCTTCAATGTCTTCTAGTTTCATCTACTCAATTTTACTCCTAAGGTTTAAGTCAATACATGGTTTTCAAGCACTTCCCAACATTTTCATATGCTAGGATCATCTCATCAGGCTGACATAATCAAGTCCTCTACTATGGTGAGATTCAATACCAGATCTCATAATTGAAATGTTTTAAACAGTCATGCACCTATATGATTTAAATTCAAATTAAATTTAGCCTTCTGCCTTGAAAATAAGATGTACAGAAGCATTATAAAATGTAGTTTATTGATGCATTTCTTAGTATAGATTATTGAAAAATAAAAAAACATACTGAGAGTAAAAATGATTTCTGTTGAGAGGCTTAAAAAAAGTCTTCACAAAGTAAGAGTATTTAATTTCCTTTTGATTTAAGCAATGACACCAAGAAAATAGAAATTTTTCCAAACCTTGTTAGTTTTATCTTTACTATTGATAAATTTTATTTCATTATCAAATTATATATAATACCATGACATTACAAATTAATATTTCAATGCCAAATATACATTAGAAAACTATAAATATGTTATAATATACTGTTATTACCAAAATTATTTTTATTTAAATGCAATATTCATGTATCTTGAATATATCTGAGGTCTTTTACTGCTTCTTGGATTTTACCATTATTTAGCTCAGGTTAAGTAACAATTTCATGCAATCAAATTCAACCTAGGAAATGTATTATGCCTTATTAGTTACTAGGCTTTCAAAAAGTTCACCAAAAGACTCGTACTTAAAATTACAGATCTAAAATAATTTCTTAAATATTTTCCTAACAGATCCAAGTAATTTCTTAAATATTTTCCTAAAAATATTAAATGAGTAAAAAGATAAATCTGTCTCATCAGCAGTTTTTCTAGGAACAGTCTTAGATTTAGCAGAGGGGACTAGCAGAACTATAAAGAGACAACATCTCAAGTAATCAACTGATAAAAAAATATGAAAATCAATAAAATTGATAGTCACATTAATGCACAGGAATCCATTAGATTCTCACACAAACACACTGGAAGCCATTAGGTTCTTCTGATAACACACAAAGACAATTAATTTTTCATGCTAATATATCAAGACCATTAGGTTTTTTTCACTAATATGCTGGGACCATTAGTTTCTCTCATTAACACACCAGAAACATTAGGTTCTCATGCTAATGCACTGGGATCATTAGGTCCTCATACTAATGAATCAGGTTCATAAAATTCTGAAATTTACAAACCAAGATAAGGGCCATTAAGTTCTCACACTAATGCCCCGGGGCCATTAAGTTCTTAAACTTCATATACTGACTATATAAAAAAAATTTCAAGGGTAATAGAAGGAAATGACTAAAGACTCACTTGTGTTGAGTAAGTAAAGACCCAATGCTTCTAATAGCAGTTGAACTATAGATAGACCTGTTTTTATGGCATAGATCCTGGGAAAATGTGAAAAGCTTGGCTGCATTTAATGATTATTAGAATTAAGTATGAAAATAACTAATTATGTTTAATTAGTTTCAGGAAATAGAATAAGGTAATGGAAAATGGGATAAAGAATCAAACTCAAATATTAACTTTGCAATATAATGTAATATAAAAGGATAAAA